CTAGACTTGAGATGCATCCTCTATCAAGTATAGTTTTCACATTTAAAAAAACTGTTTCTCTTTCACTGATACAAAGTCTTGCCCAAACTGCTATGACGATTGCGCTATGACCACCAATCGATAAGCAGTATTTATATATTTTCTATACACCCGTTAGATAAATCTCGGCCACGTTTGTCTACATATCGAATATTTCATATGTCTTCATATTTAGTTTACCCTGAAAATTTAAAGTATATTGGTGAATAGTACCTAGGATCCCCTTGAACTCTCATATAACTTTGCTTATGCACATAATTCTTACTATTTTAATCGCAATAGTTCTTGACTTTCTTAATATAGTTAATGCTATGTTGTTTTCCTATTTTCAGCTTTCGGCTATGCAACAATATTTGGTAAAGTAACTACAATTTTTCAGGGGATGTATGCTACACGGTCACGCTATCACGATATGATGGCATCAGTAAAAGACTTTATTAAAACGCATAGCGTTCCTCAGGACTTGGCAGAGCGAGTCATTGACTATGTCACCTCAACTTGGGCGATTACGAAAGGAATTGACACTGCAAAAGCGAGTTTTATCTATTTTACTATAATTTACTTTCAATTATTACTACTTTGAACACATAGTACCGAGAACTAAATACGGATTCCTCAAGACAAGATCCTTTATTTTTTTGAGGTCCTCTAATTATAAATGGCGTGAATATTTACTATTTCCTATCTATATCAGTCCACATCTTTGTTAATTATCGCTTTGAATTATCCATAATTGACCTAAACTAGCGTTGATAAGCTGGAGACCTGCTATTTAACTTTCTTAGTCTGCTAAATGTTAAATTTATTTTGAGGCAAACGGATTACTTAATAGATGGATACAAGCTTTATATAAACGTGTCAGTAGTGCTTTTGTACATGTGCATTCTACCAAATATTCGACTTGTTCAGTTAGAGGAAAATATTCTCTGTATTGGTGACGATATAATTAACTACTGACGCATGCATATAAAGACCCTTCCGTGTTTTGAATCGATGTTATTAAATGCGGTGGAATTTGTCGCATTAAAACAAGGGAACCACATAGCCTAGGCCAATACAAGAAATCTTTATGTCGAAGGCAGTGTAAATAGACTGATATTTATTTCCCCCTCAGGACTTCTTAATATTTAATGAAATATTTTCATCCTAAAAATCAATTATTTTGCTCATTTTATGGGCAAAGCAGATGCAAACCTGGCCTAAATTTGCTTTCCTTCGACAGAGAAGGACATTCATATTGCGATTAAGGGTCCTTTGCTAAAATCAACTCTTGTGAGATTAGATTGGTGGTTTTGTTGGTTTAAGGCGTTGCCAAAAAGCGCAAACATCCTGTGATAAACAGTTTCGCTGAAATGTATTAGTAGTTACATCTGAGAAATCGCAACCTTAATGACACTTAGGTGAAATAATGAATTCGTGTGGCGCTAAATTTAGATTAAAAATTTGGAAAAGCTTCGAGATATCAATGATAGTAAATCATATTAAGTAGGTATTCAGATTTACTCAGTGTATAATTAGCCTCCTATTTAATAGAAATTTTCACTATTACTAAATAATAAAAGACAATATTTGTAATAATTTGTTCAAATTCATATGAATATCCCTACAAATAAATTATTAATTATTTCTAAACATTTAGTAAAATATTAAGTTGGTTTACAGTTTATATTTATATTTCATATTTAAAATGATAGTAGGATCAGTTTTTCAAATATATCTTTAGTTAATTATATTTGATGTTCTTCATGAATTTGTAGATTTATAGGAAAAGGATAATTAATTAAGACATCTATTCATTATTAATATAAACTTTAAGCTATCATACGCTTGACCATTGCGACTCCAGTTAAATACTCATTCTCCTAGCAGCGTAAAACATCCATCCATCAGTGTTTAAAATTCTGGCTCTTTCAAGCTTTTTTCAAGGTGAATCATTAATAAGATAGCCAGACCTGAGAATGATGAAATGTTTGAAACCAACATGAAGCAAAATAATTTCCTAAAAAATATAACTTCATTGAATACACATAATCTGCATCATTAAATAGGTTCTTGCAGATTACATGCTATACTTAAGCATCATAAAAAATAATACTGAAAATATAGATGATGAATTTTTTACGGAGACAACCAAGAAGTTGCGGAGGAAAATTAAAATGCAGCTAAAATCTAATATCGTATTTCTTGGTGAATAAACATGCTTTCTTACTAATTCATATTCGTATTTTGCCGCTAAATTATTTTTACTCAACAATAAAATGCTTTTTCACCAGCTCTTTGTTATGTGAATTTGGGTTTAACCAAACTTTACACCAATTTATAAATATGGCCAGAACTATAAACTTGTCATGCACGTCGTGGCACGTCATTCCGGTAGATCGGCAGAACATGTCATCTAAAAAATCTTAGGAAATAAAACTAAAACATTAATTACGCGTATTCAATAATTTCAAGATAAATTTAAAAAAGACCCACAATATATGTATATATATATACATAAATATGCCAATAGGGATGGGAGAATTCTCATGTGCTTTTTTACCATGAGTTCAAAATTGTTTTATGATTGGAAGCATTTGAAGTAAAACAGGATGTGGGAATGTGAATCAGATAGGCGTGAAGTTAGACTTTTTGATGAGGAATGCGTAGAATAACGCCGAATTTAAAAAATAAATAATATTTTATGATAAAAAATTAAGTGTAATAAAAAAGTAATATCCTTATACTTTTGTGAGAAACTATGACATCATTATCTAAACCATTAAGTAAATGGCAAAATATACTCGTTCCTTATGGTATAAATCCATAGAAGCACAAAATAACTTAAACATTAAATGCAGTGGCACTCGTAAAGTCTGGATAGTTCACCTTATATTTGAACTTTAGGTAAAAGGAACTTAAGCATTCTTAGTTTACAGAGCTATGCTGCGTACATTTTGGAAGCTTGGAGGATCCAATTTTACGTTAGTCGTAACTAAGCTCAATTGCAAAGTGCAAAAAGCTTTCAACTCGTATAGACTGAATTATTGGACCACAATGCAAATGCTAATTGGTAACAAGGAAAGAAATAAAAGTTCAGAATCTCATTCAAATAATTATCATAAAATTCCACAAAAAAGAAGCTCGGGAAATAAATTATAAAATATGTTAACATACAAATAGTTTTATAACAGAGAAGGCCAAAAACGTTGCCACAGCAACTTTTGCTGCATAGTTCTTAAATGTATAAGATATTTTATCTCTATATTTTTACTTGTTGGCTGTTTTACACATAAAAATTTCATATGAATCAGAAAGTATGGTTTACCATAACATTCGCTATTTAAATAACAACACAAATAAAATGGAAATGGATCTTAGTGGGAGGGAGAGAGAATTATTAAAAAACTCATTAGCATAAAAAGAGTAATTTGAAGAAAATGATAATATATAAGAATATTTAAATGATTAATTTTGACTGTACTACTTGAGATCTGGCGATAGCTGCTGAGAAATATAAATCTAAGTAAGAAAAGCAATAAAAAAGCGTAAAAAAACTATTGCTGAGGCAAATCGAACAGAGAAATTAAGTGTAATCTAAAGTAATATCTTCACATTTTCGTGAGCAACTATGTCATCATCGTCTAAATCATCAAGGAAATGTCAAAATATACTTCTTTCTAAATAAGATAAACCCATAGAGGCATAAAACCACTTAAACATTAAATGCAGATAGGTCATAAAAGTTTATTTAATTATTAAATAAGTGACAAAGTGCTAAATACTAAGTTCAAATGTATTTCTTTGTCTGAGAATAATTCCATAAACTAAAGTTAACATGAAAGAAAATTTTAGTATACTCATTTTTTTCAAATATAAATTTTTTTAATCTTTTGACCGTATACGATTATACGCATTATGCTTTTTTTGAAATATTCGACAATACGCCATCTTAAAGGTGATTTGGCAAGACATGAGATACTTAATTTTATTGGTTCTGCTTTGTGTGTTCTTACTTTCGTTATTGCTTTAGTATATCGTTGCTCATAAATAGGCTTGTTAGCATATTGGTCACTTGAGGGGCTCGATGAGATGCATGTGAGATTGATACTGTTGTCTATTCTGGTTGAGACTAAGTTGAATTCAATTATAGCCTAAGGCCTACAAATATTTTAACATATTTCCGCCATTATTCCTAAGCCATTTTGACAAAAATATAAGAATTTTAACATTTTTCATCTCAATTACAAATCTTTTGCCTCCATATTCCACTTCAAAAATAAATATTTATATTTTTAAATGCAACTCTGGAAAGTCGCAAAGCTTAATTTTCTATAAAAGAACTTTATACTTTTATTTTTATTTACCTGGTTTCAATTTTTGCTCTAATTGGAATACTCTGCGCATTGTATATAAAGAAAATTTCAATTTTTCATATTTTCAGGCAGAAATGAATATTTAATTATTATTGATTTATAGTCTAATGTTTCTTTAGTGTCGCATGTATATTCTTCGTCAGAACACTGATATTTTAATATTTTATGCACTTCATCTATTTCCTGAATCTTGTTTTATTTAGCTCATACTTTTTGTAAAAATAAATAAGTCCAAATTTTTAGATTTATGATGTAATGTTGCTGATGTGATGTCAGTTAACCTATTAATATAATATATATATCGCAAAATATAGTTTGTCTTAAATATCTTGATTGAAACAACTTTGTACAAATTCATAGTCCTCATCCGATACTTGTTTTAAACTATATGTGTTTGCGTCGTATTTACTTTTACTCTCTTAAAAAAACATGATGCAATTTACCTTAAATTATTTTGTAAAAATATTTGTTAAAGAATAAATCCTCACTATCTGACTAGCCCTGCTTTATCCAGTGTCAATAATCATTTATTCATATTTTCCAAACTTTACCTATCTATATTTTAATTATATCCTTCTACTCCTCTCACTTCCTATACCATACAACTAAGGTATTGAACTATTGTCCTAAAGACATGAAAGCCGACATGTGCATACATTTGAATCGCACGGTTTTCAACGAGCATCCAGCTTTTCGCCTGGCTAGTGACGGATGCTTAAGATCGCTGGCCGTGAATTTTCACACAATTCATACTGCTCCCGGAGATCTCATTTTTCACCAAGGCGAAAGTATAGATCAGCTTTGCTTCGTTGCATCGGGATCTCTAGAAGTTATTCAGGATGAAGAGATTGTGGCAATTCTGGGTGAGTTAAATAATGAAAATGTCGATTATTTAGTTGGCCCAGTAACAAATGAGCAGAAAATAACTCACTAAACCGTCTTTTTGTCACAATATTTTTCTTCCAAATTTAATTAACCAGGAATGCTATTCAGAATTCGTTCAGTAGACTTAACATTTTTGCTATCGAGACTATTTATTTTTAATGCACTTTTGAACCAATATCCAATCAGTATCATCCTCATCTGGCGATATTTTAATATATAAAAAGAAATGCTGCTTTTATAGAGCATCTTCAGTTATCCTGTCCTTAAAAGTAAATATATGACCAGCTTATATTAATTTTACGAAAGTTATAGTTATAAAGTTAATATCGCTCATTCGCCAATATGAGGCTTAATAAGTGGCAGATAATCCCGAAGATTTACACGCATAAATTCATGGTTATGTATGAAGTTAAAAAATCCAGCCAAGTAGAAAACGTTAAAATGTATCTCACACCACTGTTATCGTCTCAGTATTGTATATTTACTTAAGCTACTTAATTATATTCAACTCATGCAATTATTCGAATCAACTTTACCTTTCAGTAAACCTTAAACAATACAACTACAAGCAATAAAGCTTAGCATATAATAAATATCATTAAAAATTACTCTTAGCTGAGTCTTTTTATATTTTGAATGAAGGTACTGAATATATTAGAGAATCAATGATACTAAACTAGCCAGGAAAGTTAAAGAACTCAAAATAGGAACTCTCGATTCTTGCTGGCTTGGATGCAGATAAAAAATTCGGCTTGGTGAATTGAAACAAATATCTTTGGCTACAGAAAAGATTATCTTTTGTCTTCACGAGCTATTTATGCTCATTTCTATTATCTGCTATAAAAATAAATCGTCCTATTCGGGTTCCCTGAGAACAGAATATAAGCCTCTAATGACGTATTTCAATATTAGAAGACAAATTTCATTATTAAGCTCTATTATGATTTGACTTTTTAAAGTTATTCCATATGCACAATTTAGATAGGCCAGACGTGATCATAAAAAGCAAACCATATAGCAAGTAACTTTTATAAAAGAGATAGGCTAGAAGCAACTAAAAGTTGGCGATAATTGGAGACTTGTAAATTAATCATAAATGAAATGGGATTAAACTAGCTGAGGATAATCGAATGTAGTTAATTAGCGATGGGTGAAGAATGGAGAATAGATGCCATAATAGAAGGCAGTAAAACGCATATATTGGCGAAATGATGACTAGAAGGTTGTAGTGGCCGCCAAGCCAGCTACTGAATTGTAAAATGATCATCAAAATATCAACAGTACTCAGATCTAATGAATTTATACTTAAGTTCACAAAGTCTGAGGTAAAAAGAAAGATGGGTCCGGCGAAAAAATAAATTTATTGAAAAACAGTTGGATAGGGTAACTACAGCCTTAAGTGACGTTTAAATTCTTTCAGACTTTTAAATTCAGATGGCTTGTTAACCAAATAGTAATTTTAATGGTCACCGCAAATCAACTCCAATACTTGCGCTTGACATTTTATTATTTATTAATTCACTCTGAAATGAGGTTTTAATTTAGTTTACTTTTTCAGAAAATGTCCAATAATCTTCCAGGTATTTCAGTCCAATAAATAAAGGAGCTGTGAAGGATATTGTATGCTACTCAAATGTTATCAGCAAAAATAGATGTTTAACTATATTATTAATTAATTGTAAAATTGATTTACATGAAAACCAAATATATTTTTCCTAAATATTATGAATACATTTTCGAGTATGAATCTCCAAAATGATATCACCAAATGCACAATGTGGCACTTAAGAAGTTATATACCTTAGATTATAATTAAATATGCATGCTTCATGTTTTAAGCCAAAACTACTCAGATATTATTTGCAATCTGAAAATAAATCCATTATTATAGAGTCAAATAAACTCAAATAAGTTCACTAAACTTGGAGTATTTCGTTGCTAGATGAATATATATATTTCGTTAGAAAATCTCCACGTGTTTAACATGACAAATCAAAAGTAGAGAATTAAGGCTTCTTACAATGAAGCCATCTACTTACAAGTATGCCAGCAACTAAAATCAGAAATTCACATTTCCTTTACTGACTAACTTCGACTATGTAAGATTATTATCTTT